AAAATAAATTAATTTTTCTTTAAAATAATACTAAAAATAAAAAAGTCTCAATTTAATGTTTCATTTAGGCTTCAAATTGACTTGAACCGCCCAGCAAAATGAAAAACTTAAAATCTTTTAAATTGTAAAGTAGGAAAAACCACCCTTTATTATAACGTCTCAGGCGAAAGCCCATCTTAGCATAAGGAAGAAGAACAAGGGAGAGTGATTTATTTTCTTTGGAAAGTATATAGAAGATAGTACATTCTCTGGTGAATTACAGGATGAGAACTGAAATTGTCGAAGCAACTGAGATTTCTACTTAAGCAATTGATGCTATGGACGCTGGTAGTACCAGCACCAGTGTCTGTAATGTTTCTCGTCGAGCTTATTGGTTGGAAATTGGAAGATGGTTGACTGACTTTTTTTCATTGGAAAAGAAAACCATTAAGACTCTGTTTGGTGAAAGGGAAACTCCATGAAATGGATCAGATAACTGTTGCTTTTGAAGAAAAGGATCATTGCCTTTGACAGTGGGAGGCTGCTTTTGGGTTGCTCTATACTCTGATTGCTCTTCTTCATTATGTTGCCAATGCTACCTCAACATTCATTTTTTGACGATAAATTTGATGATGCATAAAAGTGAATTTATGCACAATTAAATAAGTCGAGTGTGATGTGATATAATTAATGAAACAGTTAATAATAATCCAAACTACTAAAGGCGTCAACGGTGGCCAGAGAACTTTATTAATAAAGTAGTAGATGAGAGAGAGAGAGAGAGCAGACGAATGTAAGCTCAAGGTGAGGGGTGTGTCCTCTGTCCCCAAATGTGGAGGGGTTTATAATTTATAGGCATAAAGTCGTAATTGAGGCGGTGACGTGAGGGTCAAGATACTAATTTATCGGAGATGATAGCTACAATTGAGGATGAACACTATTTTAGATTAATTGCTATCTTGATAATTGCTCTTCCACGTGTATTGATTCTTCCTAGACTTTTAGTCTTTAGATTGGATTGAGACTATGAGTTAAGCTTGACTTGCCTTTTCATGGTTTAGGCTTAATCCATAAACTGGGCTAATACCTGGTCTGAATCTAGACTCGTCAAAATTTATAGCATTGAACTAAAAAGTAATTTGTAATTATAGATTTTTGATTATTCATTTGCATTCGTTAACTAGAAAGATAATTAATTAAATTGTATACTAATAAACTAAAAACACTTTACACATATCAATTTTTCATTAGTTAAAAAATATGACTTAAATGATGTGACAGTTGATATGATATGATTAGTAAATCGTAATTAACATGTGAATATAAGTGGAATCAAGAGCATCATTTATAGTCTCTATTTTTTGGTCAGTCTATCATTATTCTTAATGCAAAAAGTCCTGATTTTCCTATTTTTAATTTAGTCGGCCTGGTGGCTCTCAATGTCTTCAATTAATTGGACAACCCAAGATTCGTACCATGTCAAGTTCCTAATTCCTATTATGTATAAGTTACACATATGTTTTATTTAACAGATTCGTATTACATTTAATTGATTTCGTGTCAACTCATTCATTTGGTAGGTCGACTCATTCACTTTTTAAGAACGGCTAATTTAATCTCGATTTTGCTTTGTATGTGCCTAAAATTTTCAAATCTAATCTAATATGCCTTCAAAAAATTAGGCTCATCCTTGCTGGGTGCATGCTGCCCAGGGAGCATTGTTCCTTAGTATTACGCAATTATCTACAGGGGACTCGACCACACGTACATCAATGCCAAAATCAAGATTTTATCACGTGTTCTAAATAATGAAGAGTAGGTTTAACCCCAACGAGCTGTCGTAGCTATGAAGACTCGAACTCAAGCATTAAACGAATAAATTTGAGTTCTTACTCATTGGACCAACAGTTCGTTGGTATTCTTCTATCAAGATTTGGTGAAAGAATGACTTTCGCCTCACTTTTCCCTTTTCCCTTTTCCCCTTTCCCTCCTTCTTTTAAAGAGCGGATTGAAGAAAATGGAAAGGTACATAAAAGGAAAGGTCAAATAGTATAAGTTAAAGTTTGGTAATTTTAAACACAATATGCAATTTAGACACAAAATTAATAAGTTTAGATTAAAGGGTTTGTATGATAAACAAGTGATAATATCACAAAATTGGATAAATACATCACGAACTCATTAAGCAAGGGATACATAATGCAAACTCGAGAATACATGAGTCTGTTTATATACGATTATCAACAGTTAGAATACATATTATGAAACTTTTGGTACGACATAATTGAAATAAAATACGAACCCGGCCCACATGTCCCATTAACAGATTTTCTTTCCTATCTTTGTAGGATTGGTTTCACTGAACTCAAATGAGCCGATTTCCACATATTTTCTTTAGCTTTGTTTTTATTTTATTTTTAAATTGATTTTACAGGTAAACAGTGAGTAAGATTGTCAAACCATTCGAACAGCTTGACCTTGGTTGAGCGTTAGCTCATTGAAGGTGCATAATAAACTAAATTTTATTGGATTTCTAATCTCTAACGAACAAATTAAATTTCAGAAAAAACATCCTATCTATAAATAATTCTAATTTTATTATCAAATAACCTCTTCTAAAAGATGAATAATCCTAAGCCTATTTCTCAAATGGATCTACACCATACACTCCTCTTTTAGTTTTTCTCTTTTTCTTATAGATCTTTGACAATTTTGAATTTGTAGGATTTGTTTTTATGGTTGTCTCTACCAGATTTTGAGAGATTTTTGGGGTTTCATTTTTGAATTTTTTGCTAAGAAAATAAGGTCAGTTTTTGCTTAAGTTTGACTTGAACATTTGAAAGTTTCTATCATGTTGTGCTCAAGCAAAGATCTAAGCTTGATTCCAAGTTCCAACTTAAAATAATCACAACCGAGTCAATCTGCGAAATACCCAAATGACACTGCCCTCGCCCACCCAAAAGTTGATGTGACGCCCTCGTTGCATTCAGCTTCGCCCATAGAGAGAGGGAGGGAATGACCCACTTGGCCCAGGACTACATCGACCTCAGTAGCTGTAGCTCAATTGAGGGACCCACACAGCTGATAGGATTGTGATGGAATGCTCTGACGCCACTGACACGACCACACAATCAAAAAATTTAACTTACTAAGGGAAGAACTAAGCTCATGACAGTATTTACAATGTATGTGCAGCTGATACCGTTGTGATTCGAATGCTCCTCACAATCAAAAAAACTTAACTTGTTAGGTGAAGAATCGCCTAAAGTTTTATAAGCTCATATAACTCTATTTACGATGTGTGTGATTGTATATTGATCAATGAAAGTTCGGTTTGTATTTCTGTCTATTGGGAATGTGTGAAATGATTTATCTATACGTCTCTTAAAAAAAAAAAATCTTGATAAAAGAATTGAAGCTTATTGGTACTTTGTAACAGTTGAAAACGCGAAAAGGTAGAGAAACAAAAAGCGTAGAAGTGAGATAAAAGTCATTCTTTTTCACAAATCTTTTAACCGTGGAATAGAAGCTTTTTTTGTACTTCCTACCGGTTGAAAAGGAGACAAAGTGAAGAAACAAAAAGTATAACAACAATTAATAAGAAAAAAGTGAAGCGAAGTGAAGATAGAAACGGTATGGTAGTAACTAGTAATAATGAATGCCTTTCCATTTTAAAGGTACTTCTTCAGTTTTTTTTTTTTTGTTAAAAGGGTATCTAGGTTTGTACTAATTACTCCCTTGAACTCAACAAATTTTTAATTTATTTATTGAATGAATATGTTTAGCAAAAATTGTTTTTTAAATCCACTTTTTTAAGTGAAAAAAGTGTGTTTTCAAATTTTTAATTGAAAGCGTGTTTAAAATGACAGTTAAGAAAAATAAGCAAAAAATCATATTAGAGAATGAATTAGACAAGGCAATTTGAGGGGAAAAAAATTCATTAATGATGTGATAGCTCCATGGCTCGTTTGGTCATATGGTCAGAAAGTGTTTTAAAATTTTCATCTCCAATCCACCCATTATTTCGGATTTAACGGCGAGAGACATCCCAAGCTTACTTATAATTTAGGCACATATATAAGTTGATACAAACCTAACTTAAAGCCTAATCTATAGAGATTTTCTCCAACATTTGTATATGCTTAGGGCTTGTTTAGACATTTGTATTAGAGAGGCTACTAAACAGTTGTACAGGATTAAAACTTTTTAATCCGGGTTTATACAACATTTGGATTTGGATGCCAAAAGTCACTTGGTATTATGTATTGGACTAAATCAAATGCATATACCAACCAACCGTATACTTTTAGTACCATCAACTGATACTATTAAGTCAGTTTTTTTATCACTTGAGAGGTTGTCTTGCAATCCAATCTAAAGTTTTATGTTGTTATTTTACTGTTTTATCCTCAAAATTGTCGTAACTCGTACAGTTCACGTCTCTTCTTCTCACAATAATTTTCTTAATTGGTTTACGTTTCTTCTCCAGTTATCAACCAAGTACGGTAATTTTTCTGATCATTGGTTGTTTGAATCTTTTATAGATTTTTGATTGTACAAATTCAAGTAAAAAAACAATAAAAAGNCGAGGATTAGTGGTTGGTTTAACGGTCACTACAATCCGTGGTTGAATTATTAAGTTGTGAGTTTGAAACTCACCGGTCCTTTTTGGTAAAAATTTCAAGGATTAATAATGTTTTTTGTTTTTAAAATATCAATTTCGCCCCTAAAATATCAATTTTATCAATTACGTAAACGGACTGATCATGTGTTGGGCATGTGATACTTTCTGAAAGAGTGATACGTAGTGACTTCCTTCAAAAAACCAGNCGATTAATAAGAACTAGTTTCCATTAACAAACAGGCAACAACACAATAGATTAACACAAAGCTGTTCTTCTCCCTAATGAAAATACAGTAAAGCTAACATGTTTACAACATGTTTCTGACCATCAAATCCATCACCACCACCAATACATTCAAATACTTGTGTTCATGTTTCTTCAACTGAATCAACAACTTCAAGCTTGAATTTGTCTGGACTTGTTAGCAGAGATGATGGTGAGGCATAGATAGAGAATGAAAGCCAAGAAGGAAAACATCACAGAAACAGTCGCTCTGTTACAGAATTTGGCAAAGTGGTCACAGATTGCCATCCATCCAGTGTGGCTATTCCCATACCGGCCTACAAATCCGATTGCCGTGGCGGCGGCGCATCCGGCCATCAACAATATCATCACAACCTGTCGAAGTTCAAACTCATGTGGATAATACATGAATATACGACAACTTAAAACGATTATAACCTGAAATTATTGCACACTAAAAATAAACTTTTTCCATTCTATACAAAGTATTTTTACATATCACTTTCTCATTGAACAATGACACGACTCAATAAGGGTTAAATTATATTTACACCCCCTAAACTATCATTTTTTTCTACTTTGACCCCTCAATTACCAGATTTCTCACATTATACCTTAAACTTTGTCATTAGTTTCACAGTGCCCCATTTATCAATGTCCGTTACATTTTTAATAGAAAGTTATTTCATTTTATAATTTTTTTTACTTTACCCGATAATTAGTGATTTTCATCCAAAAATATACCAGACGTTTGCAATTAAAGCAATGTGAAACAAAAATATTAGTTTAGGACGTAATATGATAAATTTGATAGTTGAGAGGACAAGGTAAAAAAAAGAGTAATAATTTAGGGGGTGTAAATATAATTTACCCTTAGTATAACTACAATTTTTAGGAGTTTTGAATTATACATTATAATGTTAGTGTGAAAGGTTTATATCTAAATAGCATTACTCCTAATTATAAAGTGCGGGTTAGAGACAAGTTATGGATAGGTGATAAGTGGAAACTCGCATCCACGTCTATATTTTTATCGGGGTGAAGAATTTTTGCATCAAAAGAATTTGCAAATTGTTGACTTAATGAAAAACAACGCACCAAATCAACCAGGAACATGTAGAAGTAATTCTTCGAGCCCAAATCTTTATGACCCAGCACTGAAGTGAATAGCAAACACAACGCTGAAGTGACGCACGCAACAAGATTTGCAACTGCAAAGAACCTGCAAGGCAACAAATTTCAAGCACTCCAATTATTAACACATACGAGGATTAGTGGTTGGTTTAACGGTCACTACAATCCGTGGTTGAATTATTAAGTTGCGAGTTTGAACCTCACCGGTCCTTTTTGGTAAAAATTTCAAGGATTAATAATGTTTTTTGTTTTTAAAATATCAACTTCGCCCCTAAAATATCAATTTTATCAATTACATAAACGGACTGATCATGTGATACTTTCTGAAAGAGTGATACGTAGTGACTTCCTTCAAAAAACCAGTCCTTTATGGTAAAAATTTCAAGGATTAATAATGTTTTTGGTCTTTAAAATATGTATTTTTTATCAATTTAATCATTAAAATATCAATTTTGCCCTTAAAATATTGAATTCGTGTCAAAATGGTCACTACGTAAACAGACTGATCACGTGTTGAACATGTGATACTTTCTGAAAGAGTGACATGTAGTTACTTTCTTCAAAAAGACTTAACGAGTTGTTTGATTAAGGACTAAAGTGACATGAATTGAATATTTTAGAGATCAAATTAAACAAATTAATATTCTGGAGACCAAACTGATAAAAAAAATATATACTTTAAGTAACGAAAGTACTATTGATCTAAAATTTTCAACTAGCGACCAAAACAAAAATTATTAACACATATGTCCCCCCAAAAGAAATTATTAACACACAACCGAAATACACCTTTAGCTAGATTTGAATAACATAGGAATGTGTACACATATGCAGACACACATTCACCTATATATAAGATGTATATATACAGGCTCATGCAAATATACAAATTCAAACCCACAATTATCATGATTAAGGTTTCAATATAAGTTTATTTTTCTTTTTTAGGATTCAAAACTATTTAAAACACGAGCCACATTGGATCAACTCATACAGAATAAAACCTAGATTCTTGCTGTCACTCATTAATCACATAGTATATGGTAAACCGAGAGCCGTTAACAAGGATCCACAGTCAAGACTTCCGAGTTTACGATTTGTTCTGAAAAAAAATTCCACACCACTGAATTACCCAACATTATCTTCAATAATAAGAGTAAAGGATTGAATTATCTCACTTGAAAGCGGAGGAATAACTATATCGGGCGTCAACGACGATTCCAAAAACCACCACAGTTTCCTTGGTGGTGAGCATAATCCACGCAGCAGCCAGCGTCGCCGCCGTGACCAAAGCTCTCAGGCAAATCTGAGCCGCCGCGAAATATTTTTGAGTTTTGACAGGTTGGTTTTCCCCAACTTTGGCTCCAATACCGTCCATGTCAAGAACTTAGTGAGAAAACAGAGAAGGGAATAGGAGATTCAAAATCAGCAGCAACTGAGAGAGAGAGAGAGGGTGGTTTTGATGGGTATATGTAGACGAAAAGATAGGAATGATTCAAGGGGGAAGTGGGGATTTGAGTGGATCGGTTCTAAGTCCGAGAAAAAAGGCTTGTTTCAACTGCATTTAAGTGTGCATTGTGGAGAGAACAGTAAGAAGTAGATCTCCTCTACGAAGGATTGGGAATGATCTCGACTGTTGAATTTGGATGTGGGATAATATAGACCGTTAAATGGTCTGCCTTTACCACATGAAGCTTTACCATTCGGAGGGTGGCATTATGGCATGGATGGAATGAGTGATGCTTTTCGTACTCCTAGTAGAACTTTAATTTATCACGTGGCAAGTTCTAATTTCGGGCAAGACTAGGTATTTTGAAAACATTTTAAAATATTAATTGTAATATATTGGAATCAAAGTAGTAATTAAACCAGAACAAGTTAATTAAATACTAAAAATCCATCTTAAAATGTTAGATTGGTTTTAAATAATTTTATTTTATCATAACACGACCAAATTGAATAATAATCTTATCTTCCTTTTTGTAGTAAAACAATGCTATAGAGATATAATTGACCTAGGAAGCACGGATCCAGATATGTGATACGATACGATACGATACAATACGATAAGAATATATCGATATGAAATTTTTTTTTTAAAAAAAATACAAATTTGGCCATGATACATCTATAATAAAATATATTTTATATTTTACTATTATTTGACGATTTAAAAATTATAAATTTCAATAATTCTTTAACAATAGAAAGTAAAATTAAGAATTTTTACTTTGAAAAAGATATAATATCGTCTTATTATGATATATTCATAAAATGAGTGTGATCAATTAAAAGAATCAGAACCACATTTAACTAGTTTGTTTGCTTACAAGTATTTATTTTTAAAATTATAGTATAACTAACTCATTTTTTATACTTTCTTGTCATGTAATAGTAAATAATACTTAAAAAATACTCATGTCTTTATAATGAAATAAAATTTTGTTGATATTTTGTATTGTACATAAATTCAAAAGAAGAGAGTATAGATTAAAATTAAAATGATACCTCTCAGAAGTATTCGCAAAGTATTTACATATTTTATTAATTATTAATTATTGGATACGGATGATGCATATCCTCGAGTATCCGAGGAGTATGCGTTGACTTTGATGAAGTATCTGTGTTTCATGGTGATTGAGAGACATAATTGGGAATATAATGCATTGTAACCAATAAAGTGATAGTATAATGTATTTAATATTGTAATGGGTCTCATCATTAAATGGATTCTACTATCGATTCATTAATCATAATTCATTATGTCTCTAAATTTTAGCCCTTAATTATATTCCAATAACATTAGTGTTTGTTATAAGTTAGTATAATGCTGAAAAAAAATTATCTGGTACCGCAGTTTACCCTACTAAATACAATAGTGGTTTCTTTCTTCGAATTTTGCATATCAATCGCTAGGGATGTTCACCCTACCCTACGGGTAGAAAATATGTTCTTCTGTCTTCCTACCCGATACTTTGCGGAAGAGTTTTTTTTTAAGCCTACCCTATCCAACAGGTGTGGTATTCCTACTCGACTTCCTACCCGATCAATCGGGTAGGAAGTCGGGTAAACATTTTTGTAATAATTAATTTTTGGATCATTTTAACAATTTAATTAAATAACATGCACCAATTTAACATCATAATAAATCAATTAACACTAAAATCTAAAACAACTACAACAAGAATTATAATAAAACACAAAAAAGTATGAACATCAATTCACCATAATTGTTACACAAATACAATAATAATTAATTTAAGTTTAAATTTTAAATCATATGAAATACATTAAAATCATAATTGCTTCGCTAGGGTTTAGAGTTTTTTTTAGTTTATATATATATTAAAAAATTATTGCGTGTAGGGTAGAGTAGGAATGCGGAAATGGATGACTATTCCGCATTCTTACCTGATTTTTGAGCCTAGCCGTTCAGTAGGGTAGTGTAGGAACTTGCGGTCGGTCGAAAATTTAAACACCCCTACCAATCGCAACTCCTCATTCGCTTCAATGGAAAATTGGTAATTTTTATCTTTTTGAGTAACACTAATGTTAGTAAGACATAATTTGATGATATAATTTGAAGATTTAATACATCGTGATTATTAGATTGATAGTGTTGGAACTAACTGATAATTTAATGTTGGAACCCACCCCTAATTTAGTATTCACAATTTTTAAGTCTTCAAATTATGTCCAATAATATTGCTCTTTGAGTAATGTTATGATTCTCAATTCAATCAAAAAAATTTTATACTTGGGTTGAGATTTTAATGTTTGGATTGGATTTGGGCAAAAATATCTCCACCCAACTTGAAAATTTGGATTATACTTGGATTAGGGATTCAAGTTGGCGGGTTCAACTCGCTCCCAAACTTGAGTTTACGAATTGTGTTCAACTAGATTTGAATAGCATATTATAGATGTGAAATTTGTTAATATGTTTTGAGGGTGAATACAAGACTGAACCTATTTATGGTTCTATTTAATTTTGAATGAGAAATCTGACTTCAACTCCAAAATGTTACCCAAGTTCAAAAACTTTAAATCATGAGTTTAACTCGGGTTGGGTTAAACTAGGGTTGAAAGTTTTATAATTAGAGTTAAATCTGAATGGATCCCTTAACATGTCCAACTTGGTTGATTTATACCCCTACCTTTCATAAGCTAAAAAAAATATAAATATTGTGTCGATAGTCGTACATACGTATATCACACTTTATACTTTTGAAGAAATGTACTGTACCAAAATAAATAAACTAATATCCCACCGTCATATATAACTTTTTAAATTTTTTATATAATTTTTTAGAGACGTCATTTATTACTTCTTATTTTTTATTTATTTTTTTGTGATCAATCCTAACATTTTAGAATTGATCTTAAAATTGTTAAAAAAATCCTAAAATTGTTAAGAATGATCCCTGGTCTCCCAAAAAAAAATAGTAATTTGACCACCAAAAAATTGTATTAAACCATAAAAGTTATAAGATGATCCTAAAAATTATAATTGTTTTAAGATCGATCCTAATATTTTGCTTTAATTGTAAATAAACCCCTAAAACTTGTACGGTGAACCACACAAATTTTAAATTTTGATACCGTACCTAAAGAGGTATGGAAGTCCTTTTCTCTAAGTCTCATTTATTTCGAGTATCAACTTTTTTTCATCATTTTAGTTAAGCACTTGCAATGTTGCAGTTCATTTCATGCATGCAAGCAATCTATAATCTATGTAGATTCATTTAAAACAATCCAAACACACCAAACATGCATGGTTTTACTTTTAGTACCCTAACTTTAATGGAAATTCGACTTGGAAGATAGATATGTTGAGGGCTTATAACCCTTTGGTGTGCGTTATGGAATGCAAAATTCATGCAAGAATAGTTTTCAGTGATCACCACAATCATTCCCAATGCTTCCAATACTCTGTCTCTCTCTCTCACACACACATGTGAACATTACATCTAAGACATAGTTAGTAAGCCCACTTGGTATGCAATGATAATTATTGTCATAATTAGCAGAGAGGGGAAAGAGAGAGAGAATCAATTTGTAATAAGGTTTAGTGGTCGGGACGTGCAATGTATAGATAAAATATATCTTTATAGTCACCGTCACCATCATCATGATTCAAAGTATTTGTTGATATTAATATGAATTGGTCAAGTCGTACCCGACTCACTACCTTGCGAGACGGTACCGTTATACGATTTGTTATAAACTCTAAGTGTTGCACCACTCGGTCTAGTCATTCGATTTGTATCTCAGTCAATTCCAAGTCGCCAAATTATCGTCGTTGAGTTATAGTCACCATATTAATCAATATGATTCTCCAATGCCACGATATAACATAAATCTTTTATTATGTTCAACATTTTCTTTTAGAGTGTATCGGCTGATACCATGTTGTGTCGCCGAGACTAATGTATCTGAGAGCTCTCCGAATCGATGATCGATGCCGCAACCATGAACCATGAATCGATGATTTCATCATTAGATTTTTACAAGTATTTGTATTTTTTGCTACTACAAACTATAGGCAACTGAAATCAAGTAAAGAATTTCGTTTGCCTGTTTAAACTTTACTGAAAATTGGAAGTGATCTTTCTAGATGTATTTGTTTGGAGATAAGTCCTGTAAGGAAACTTATAAATGGCTAAAATTATATGTAATGACTTAAGTCTAATTTTTTTTTATTTCAAAAACATCATTCCTTAAAAGGAAGTTAATCTTTTCTCTCTCATATTTATCTATATTCATATATATGTTAAGAGTTTGACTAACATTAAAATTTATTATGTTACTGTTCATTTTACTGCTTTTATTGAGTATGTTAATGTTCATGTTACTATTATTTTGAGCATGTTACTGTTTTTATTGAGTATGTTACTACTATTATTTTTTTAAATATTAATATTCAATGTTACTATTTTTTTTTTTAATATTACTATTTTTTGTATTTGAATGATACTATTTTTTGCATTTGAATTTGAAAGAAATAATTATTGTTAAGTATGTTACAGTTTTTGTTAAGCATGTTACTATTTTTGTTGAACATGTTAATATTTTTGTTGAACATGTTACTGTTGTTATTTTTTAAAAATATTAACATTGAATTTTTCAATTTTTTTTATGTTTAAATGTTACTATTTTTTTTGTGTTTAAATGTATTATTTTTTGTGTCTAAATGATAACTTTTTTTTGTATTTGAATATTACTATTTTTTATTTTTAATGTTATTGTTATATATATATATATATATATATAAGAGAAAGAAAATTTTAATATTAGTCAAATTTTTAGCCTATATATGAATATAGATAGATATGATGAGAGAGAAAATATTTTAATGTTAGCCAAACTCCTAAGATT